CGCAGTGAGCAGCCTCAGTTAAATGCGGTAGGCCTCGGACGAGAAGACACGGAGACTGAGCCTTCGTCGGTTGACTCGGTGACGCTGAAGTTTCCCGATTTGGCTATGGCTGATGACAAGGATGATATGGCCGTCGTCCAAGCTGTTGATCCTAGTGTTGACGTCGCCGGTGAGCATTACCAACGCCTTTGGTTATCCAAGTTTTTGTTTTATGAATGGGCTGATAAACCGTTACGATCTGTGTAAATGGACTCAGAAATTACCTAGACAAATTGCATGGGAGCTGCGTCGTCAATATGTTTATCTAAATCCAGCCTTTTGTCTTTTACTTGAAGCGCTGAACCAGCAGCAAGCGGAGGTTAAAGCTGCGGCTGAGAACGCTGGACAGGACGGCGAAGATTCGGGCGACGACGCCGACGCCGAGGATTGCGAAGAAGCGGATGGTGATGAGGATGGCAGTGACAGCACTGGTTCGCTGGATACGGAAACGGATAGCGGTTCCTCTACAGATCAGTCTACCGGTTCTGAAACCAGCGAGGAAACAAAAGCGGGATGGGACCATCTCCAACGCATTAAAGCAGAACGCTGGGTTCGCTTCAGCAGTCTGATCGGATCAATTAAGCGCAAATTCGATGAGATGGATGAAGAGGCCGGAAGTAGTGTCGAGAAACCGAAGGCTGTCAGTTTGTTCCAGCCTTTGCCTACGATTACCAAGTTGATGGAAAAGAAAAAGACGCTGAAAAAGAGGACGAGACTGGGGATGATGGTGAAAACGAGCGCCAGATGCAGATTTTTGCTGATTCGCTCATTACGTATTCTGATGACGAGGATGTGCCGATGCCTGATTTTGAGCATCCCCCTATTCTGCCGAAAAAGTCAGCTGCGGAAGTCGCGATGGAGGAATGTTAGCGACTTAGTGGATTTTGCTGGCCCAGAGAACGATGAGTATGCTGTGGATAATGTTGACATCAAACAGCACGACAACGATGAACAGCCAGAGGAAGAAGAACAGTCTCAGTTGCACATCGATGATGGCGATCAGGCGGAAAATGTCCTTGCAGTTGCGGCAATGGTGCAGATTCAAGGCGTCGTCGAGCAGCAGGAGGAAGAGCCACGCTCGGAGGAGTTGCAAGTTGGACAGCTGACACCAGCCCGCAGCCCCATTTTGGATAATCGCGGTATTTTTCCCTTAAACCCGTTCGTCCCGTCGATTTTTATTAAATCGGCTTAGGTAAAGTGAAATGTTATTCTGCCTCATATGAGATTATTGTTATTGCTATTTTACATAATTACCTTTATTTTTGAGATTTATGGGTGATTAATTTTCTGCATAACTTTTAGTCTTGTTAACCTTAAATTGACCGTGAATCTTTGCACATTTTGCATGTCCTGACTTGGCTGTATAATTAACTGTAGTCTTTTGTCGCCGCGGTGTGCCTGGAAAATTTTAGCACTTTTTATCTGATGATTTCATCGATGTATGGAGAAGCCGATGTTGGTGACGTAATCTCCCTCACTCCTATTAAAAGAGCTCTAACCTGTGGTTGTGATTGGTCGGTTGCATGCGGTTCGAAACTGGGAAATTTCCCGATACACCGGCACATCTTAAGCACATAGCAGGTGCAGGTACTTAAGCAGGTAAAAGCAGCACAGATCTTACAGTGCAGTTTTTCACTTTAAAGTTCGCACTTTTTCGTCACGCCGCACAGGCTGTGTAGTAGTTCCTTGCCAATTCGTGTTGGAACTTTTACCCTCATTTTGTTGCTGTGAAAGGTCACTTTTGTTCCCGTAATGATTTGCTATGCCACCGATAGATCCGAATCGAGTTTTTGAAAAGCTCGTTGACGCCGTATTTCAGTCATCGCAGACGGCGCAACAACAGCAACAGTATGGCGGCTGGAGAGGAGGATACCGTGGTGGCTGTGCGCGCGGCGGATTTCGCCCGTATCGCCCTATGCACCATCGAAGTCACGGAAGCAACAACGTCCGTCGTGGGCCATCTGATTGGATCCGTGGAGGCAGACCCTTGGGGGAACAGGGTCCTGCTCCGAATGCTGCTGGACCAGATAATCCGGCTCAACGAGTGGAGAATCCCGGCGTCCCTATGGAGGTCGACGTCTCGAACCCTCCGCAGGCGCCTGCACCAGCTGAAGATCCGAGTCGCGGAGTTGTGGGCCAGATTGTCGCCGCTCCTCCTCATGCTGATCAGCATTTATCAGGCTCGTCTGTCCTGATTGTCGGAAGCGTGCCAGCCAGCGTAGCAGCATTACCGCAGCACCCTGTGCAAGCAGTACCACCAATGAGCGCACTTCCGGGATTGCAACCTGGAGTCGATGCCTTCGCAGTACCGGTGAATACGAATCGTGACCGTTCAGTCTCGCGAGATCGAATTGGGAAACCATCGCATGATTTTGTGCCCAACTTTGTCGCTGACCATGAGTTACTCCAGCAGAAGCAGCGAGAGTCAGAGATGAAAAAGCGACGGAAGATGGCGGAAGAAGTCAGTCGCCGTCTGGATGCCGTTTCAGCCTCGTCGACTGTGGGACAGACAGGACTGTTCTCCTTGGCACCAACCAGCAGCAAGTGATGCGGTAAATTTTTGTTTATTTTGTTGTTATTACTGGCAATTATCGAAGTGTTCTGATCTTGTTTGTTCTGTGATATGACCTCGATATTTTTGCTGCCGATGTTTTGTTATTGTTTCGAATTTTACTGGTGTGTGGCGTGCCATTTTTGAGGCCACTGAACTGTTTCTCTTTCGTGTTGTGTGTGTTGTTGTTAACAGAAATGGGACAAATCCGGTTAGACCGTCGTCCCGAAGTGCAGGATTTACCGTATGCAATCCCGCAAAAAGGTCAGAAGATCTAGGCCTCTCAGGCACATTAAAATTGCTGAAATGTAAAATCAAAAAAAATAATAAAAAACTAAAAACGTCGCGTGGGTTCTAGTTCCTTGTAATCTGTAGTACAATACTAACGGTTAGTACGGAAGTAACAAGTTTTTATACACCCGTAGAAATGCAACTCACTATAACTTGGTCGTACAAGTATTAGTATGAACACACGGAAATTAGCCGCGGAAAGACTCAACAGTTAATCGTCCAGTCTTCAAATTTACAAATTTAATTTTTCATACAGTGTGCTTTAGACGGTCGTACAAACTCGTCATTTAATTCTCATTTGGTCAGCATTTATGCTTACAGTCCTTTGACGGTAATAGTCGCAAGTGTTGCACATTATGGCGAATAAATCGCAACGCAACAACACGTTTTTCCAGCGTTACGCTTTGGGCCGAGAGGAGGAAATGGCATCTCGTTCAGCTCCAGCGGAATCTGTCAATAAGATTCCTGTCATGATTGGATATGCCCAGCGCCATGGGTCCTCGATCGCCACTGAGTTTGGATCACCGCGTAGCTACCCTACGGGATCAATTTCGTCGTTGCTTTCTATGCCTGACGAAGAGCAAGAACCGCAGGAAGCACCTAATCAGCAAATGGTTCGTGCTGCTCAGCTGATTAATATGGCACTGGATATGGTCGATACTGTTCCCCTGGACCAACGAACGATTGGAAAAGATGTGATTTGTGACGGTATGACCATTCAGCGTTGGGAAAAGGTTGCCCCGTTGCTGTACCGAGACACTGTGGAGCAGTTGAATGGAGGCGCTCCGCAGATCGCTGAACCACATTCTGCGCCTTCGGCATCGGCCATTACGGGAGGATTTGGCTTCTACGGCTTCCCGTTGTCACCGTTGAAGGAGAACTCGTCGGAAGTGCGTTCCAGCAGTTCGAGCAATAAGCCTTGCAAATTTTGCATCGAAGACGGCAAGGAGCCCAACACGGTTTAATCGGTTTCATGTTATATTGGTTGCACTGACGTCGATGTTGTGATGATTATCACATTTTTAGTTTATTTTCGGAAATGATAATTATATTTTTCGGTCATGTGAATCACTATGTTTTAACTGCAATGATCGAATTATTAGTTATAATTAAAACCTGGAATTAACATAGGCGGCATGCTGTATTTCCGGCTTACGCACCAGCGGAGTGGCAGTTTGGTACATTTCCGGGGTACACACCTACTGTGTGGCGGTTACAGATTTATAGCCGTATTTAGCCCATACCGTAAATTCTGAAATTGCAATTTAACTGGCAAGCTTAAAGAATTTTAGATTTTCCTTTTGGAATTGTACTGTTCTTTGTTTCTTGTGTGTACAATGTCGTCCAAGATCGTTACTCGAGCCGCTCGTCGTGTCGTTACGCGTGGTGCTAGACGTCTGGGCATTAGAGCTTTAGAAGCGTATGATCGTGCTCAGCAAGAATGTCAGAATATGCTTGCTGCAATGATGGTTTATGTGGAAACGATGGAGGACATGGATGAAGTTCGACGCGACAACGATAAATGGGCTGACGAAGCACAGCAGGAAGAGCATATTCGTGATTTTGCGTGTGTTCGAGACGGATGAAGAAACTCAGCGTTGGATTCGGACGGCAAACTTGTGTGCGAACTTTCGTGGTCGACTGATGAAGAAAGAGCCTGAGGAGCCTTGGTCGTCTCCTGCTGCGTTTGACATTAAAGGCTACGAAGAATGGTTTTCCGAGTGTATGGGTGATATCCGAGAGCCAACTCCACCGCCAGAACCTGAAGAACCTGTCGCGGAAATGCAGATACTGGAGCGAGAACCGTCCCCGGAGATTCCGCACTCACAGATCGTGCGATTGGATAATGCTGGTAACGTTCAGGAGAATGTGCAGCCTCAATATGTCTCCATTATTTCTCTGCATAATTTCCCTCGTCACGAATAATTAGAATTACGGCGGAATTTTTGTGTATTATATCTGATTTTTATACCTTGCATTTAATTCTGCATTTTGGATATTTTTGTAGCATTTTTCGTTGAAAATTTGTCAGGATTAATCTATGAAGCATTTGTACAGATCCAATAATTAAAATCACTGTACAATATTCTTTAATTCTCCGCAGTTTAAGACTTGGAAAAACAGTATAAAGTAATTCAGTTTTAAACTTTATTAAAGCCTGGTGCCAATACAGAACACAGAAAATCCATCACATGAACGGCACAGTAGTACGCAGTAGATTTTAGCTCCTTGGATCCTGGACCTCCTCCTCGCCAATCCCGTGGACTTCCGGATGCCAACGACGCTAGGATCCATACACTAACAACTCACACGGATCAGGCGTACAGTCATTGGGCATCGGATGGGCATGCGTGGATTGTGGCGAAGGATGGGAGATGGATCAGGGATGGAGCGCTCACAATCGCACGGGATGTTGCGGATGGACTTGTTTATATTGGCAGGAGCCAAGAAACGTTTGTGGGGGTCACGTGTGGAGGAGTACGTACGAGGGATTCCACCGTACATCCACTGACTGTCCGCCCTCACCTGCAAATACAACACCGGATATCAGCACCGATCAGTTCTGTGATTCGTTATATCTATGGCTTAGCGGTGTATCTGATGTTTTTACTTTTAGTCTATTTAAGTCTGAGATTTTACTAATATCAAAAACAGATTGGATTTCAGTCTTGGATTTCTGATCTGACGACTACTTGCTCTTAACTTTCCTTGTGTTGTACATATGATTGTGTGTTAGCGAAGTAAAGCATCTTCTGTGATTATCGACGTTCGTAATTTGTATCGGATTATAGCGTGGTAAACACGGTATGCTCGTGCTTCGTCCAACCCGCATATGTAACGACTGGAAGTTAGGAGTATTGTTCAGCATAATCGCTTAGGGATTCCTGATCTTCGTGTTCCTGAACCTACCAGATTCCGCGTATTTCCTGTGATCCGCTGTAACAGTTGAGACAAGAGTTGCGATACTCACTGAGCAAGGCAGGGATAGTGGTTACGACGATCCCGTCCGGAGAGTCGTTAGTTAATCGCGTACTTCTTAGTACCGTTGACAACCTCATAATACGACAGTATCTCTCCCAGCATTTCGCGCTGATTAACGCCCGATGGTTCCAGGTTGTTTCGAGTACAAGCGGCAATCGCCCATCTACAAGATAACCAAACATTACGAAACAGAGAACTTCCTATAAGGGGCACACCGTTTCTGTTTCTTGGTATTCTAAATCCATTTTTGTTTGGAAATAAGTGTAAAAGTTTTATGAATCTGTTGCTGCTGCTCCTGCTTATTTTAAGTTCGCACATAGCAACATTAACCAGCCTGCACAGGCTGCACTGGTAGACGCTAATAAAAGTTAAGTTTAAGCATTTGGCTATCAGATGTCATACAGTCTTGCAAATTTCGTGAGTATTTCTAGTTCTACAGTGCAAGTGCGCGAGTGCAAAGGTATTTAAAACTCGGTCGGATGTTGTATGGGCCAACGGGATTTCGATACAGTCATGTTTCTTTGCACTCCGCATAATTATATTTCACACGTATCAAACCTAACCACCAAAGAGAAGCTAGGTGCACCTTACCTTTGACTCTTTGAGCAGCGCTGTAAATAACATTCTCGTTAGCTGAAAGCGTATTCCGTCCCAAAATCATCGCTAAAGTCGTTTGCTCAATTGCTGTGAACGGCTGTGATCGGAAAACGGCTTCGGTAAACGCGTCCACGGTGTCTAAGCACTGGCTGACACCTTTATCGTTGTGCCACAAGATAGCCTGCAAACCGTTATCAGTTAAGTGTTGTGGAAATCGCGAAGATAGAACTCTTTGCAGACCGACCTCTTCCAGATACGTCACGCAGTTTGCTGCATACATCTCGTCGTGAATGAACTGGAAGCAGTGGTCAACTAGCCGCGGCACGTCGTACTTATCGGCACACGAAAGAATGGCCAACACATTCGCTGGGTGCAAGATTCCGATTAAACCATAGTGGTGCATGTAGCTGTAGAAGTACAGAAAATTAGGACACTGCGCACTTCATCTGGATAGTTCTCGGGAGCTCTCGTAAAATAATCTTCCAACATGATACAACATACCAAAGTATACTCTTAAATGCCTCAGGACGATCACTCGGAAGGTCGATGGGTTTGTCGCAGTTCTCCGCCAAACCTCCATAGAACATGGCCCGAAACACAGCACTGTCCCTGCTCAGAAGTTCTCTGCAAAATGATTAGTGAGCGGTATTGGAAGTGCAATCTTTTAATGCGATTTCCCGAAGCCGCATACTTATTGGCTCTAAAGAGCTTTGCGGGACCAAAATCACGCCCGACCGAAAATTCTATGTCACGTTTGTTAAAATCGAGAACCTCCAGAGTGCTCATGCGGTCGGTAATCTCTGCAACACAATCGGATTCGGCGTCATCCTTTTCGTCTGTAGCAGCGGTCGGAGATGAGGTCCCTTCTCTGGGCGTAGTGGGAGGAATCGCTTCCATGCTTTGGTAATCAGGTAGATACTGTATTTTCGTCGATAATGTATGGACGCGCACAGTTCGCCTAATAAGCCGTTAAGTTCTGTTTAGAAAATAATGTTGCTGCTTCTGCCACTGACGTAGACCGCACCACAATCGCCCACAAAGCTATAACAGTATTCCCTCCGATGACAGTTCACTTGAGAAAAGCCCAGAAAGGCTGGAGGAAGCAGGAAGGCACGAAATAACTAATGTGGTAATTTTTACCGAGAAAAACGAAGGAATAAACACGTGCTCGCTCGTTCGACGAACGATTCAAAATAAACGAGACCTGACATTCGGTTTACGATGCCGAGAAGTGAGTTTTCAATGGGCTTGGCTAGCCACATGGCGCGGAATATGGCTTGCGGGACGGTTAGAGGGCGCTTCCATCGAAAATGTAACTAGCTAATTAGAATCCGCCTAGATATGACACTTGATTCAAGGTGCTTATTGAGTATTCTGAAAATATGGTGGTAAAAAAGTTTGTAATTTTTCCTTTGGTTCACAAACATTTCCGACAGTTGCAGGCATAAATTATTTTCCCGTTTCCCTACGTTCCAGTGGCACCCGCTTGTTTCTTTGCCGGTTTTGCAACCTCGAAGCTTATCGGTGCTTCTAAGGTTATCGATGGATGACATATACAGCCACCAATGCACGAAGAGGTTGAGCGCGGTCACCGGGCGGTGTTGTGTTAAGTTCAGTGACATTGCGTCGACAGACATCGCGTCGACCGCTACAATGTTGACCGCACGATATCGACCGTCACAAGGACGGTGACTATAAGAAATTCGACGAAACAAAGAAACGAATAAGAAAAGCCATGATTATTATAAACAGCTATGAAAATATAAGAAACTGAACAAAATTAAGAAACCTAAGAAAACGAAGACCGACTAGCAAAACCCTAGCTCGATTTCGTGATGGGGCGAGATCGGATCTGTTGGACTTGCCTCGGGCAAGGTCGATGGCTCGCCGCTATTTCATGGATCGATCCCGCGCACTGTTATTCCAGTCCGCACATTTTGAAAATATTCCACATGAGACGCCAGCACTGATGATGATTCCGCAGCAGCGCGGTCCCTTGAAAGCCAGTGAGAACGCCATTTACTTGTCTGTCGGAAGGTTACTTAACGTCAGGAAAACTGACTCCAATGCCGATACTAAACGAAGCAGCTTTCTGGAAAGAATGTTTTTTTTTGGTTTTGACCCAAAACTTTTGGGTGGTATATCTGTAGATCGACGGCGGCTGCATGCACCCGTGCTAATACATTAAAGTCGACCTCGAAAACCGGCGGCAGACGCTGGAGAGAGTTTCTACACCTTTCCGCGCTTACTCTGCGATGCCCAGCTGCTGTACGGCCCCATAAGGTTGATTGGTTTACAATGGCTTCCGACCTTAATCGAACTGAACCGGAAGTACTTGCCAAGGCATTATGCCTCCGCTTTACGTGACTGTCGGTTATGTGAAATAGTTAAGGTTTTATTGCTCATAAATGCACCACAGCAGAACGACAACTAAAGTAAACCCATGAAGTGGAGATACTGTAACATGAGACATTTACGTATATTGCTACCCAGCAATTAATATTTTAGCGCACTGTACAGAGTAGACGACTAATTCTACAAATATTAAGTAATAGTAATAGTAAGCCATGGAAGGTAATAATTTAAGTATCACGTACTACGAAGGTCATGAAACGATGATAATATTGTACTGTAGGTTGGATTTTCCGTGCTTAAATTAAAAAGCTGTTGCTTTCCTAACTCGTTCAGCGTGATTAATTCTTGTTTGCTGTCTTTGTGTCGATAAAATACACTGACTAGTCAGACGTTTTGACACCACTGTATGGCTGATGAAACGGTATTTTTGTAGACTGGTCTGCTGCAGCAAGCCGAATTATGAGAAATCTACCAGTACAAGCACGCCACCGATATTTTTGTGGGTTGCAACGGTATTTACAACGACACCGATACCGCGATGCGTTAATCCAGAACGCGTTCGGTAGGCCAATCGTCGTTTGCACGTATGGGCCAATCCTCCCCGCATTGCAGGTTGCCGTGACTTCATTTCATATGGGCCATGCTAACTATTCAAAGGCGTCATGCCATTGTTACTTTCCCAGGAGAAAAAGCCCGACCTTTTTGAATCGCCGGGAGATCCTCCGTGCCATATATCGGTACCGATCGAAAGCAGTAAACCCTCTCGTGTTAGCAACAATACCGCTCATGCATCGAAACATTCTATATTACAGTATATGGAAATTATTTCGGTCAGATTGTTTGCCGTAAACCATGCACGGAATTTTTCTTGTAGAGGTATAGGTACATACAATATCGCTGCGATCACGCATCTGTTCTTTTGTACTCTTTACACAGAAATGTGTACACCCTGTATTTAGCTTTGAGTTCATACAGCTGTATTCTTTCATTTGTTTCCAGGTCCTCCTAATCCTGGTTGTGCAAAAGACCGACAAGAGGGCTTATGACATTGATCAACGCTTGGCCTGATCTTGAATTATGGTTACTAACGTTTATTAACTATGGAAGGGGACTGCAGCGGACGCACAAATCCGACAAAAATTCCGATCCGCTAAAATTACGCCGTTCCAGTCCTCCTACTGAGTAGGAAGCGGTTTTACCTCGAACATTCTGACGGCAGTAACGATAACGCTGTTTCATGTTTATATGATTTCGCTCAGGGCACGAGCTCTAACCACCGACCTCTTTGGTACGTCTGCTGTTATTATTTACAGTGTAGTGGGGGAACAGAAAACGTGGATGCTTTGTTTTAAGGCTTATTGCGCAAATAAGCCCTTTTCTGTTCGAAACCACTTCGAACCCGGCTGTGTGTAATTTACGATCGCTATAATAAAGTACAAATATTTGGTTACGCGTCCTGGATGTGTTTCTGTCACACAATGTTTGCTGATCTTTGTATGGAATTTTTTAACTGCGCACCGCTAATAACGCTAAGCTATTGTGTTTTAGGTCAGGCGGGTAAGATGCCACTTATCGGCTGCAAAGTAACATAATCTCCGCACTTTGTGCTGTGTTGGTGCTTACTTTACGTTATCTCATCGTCAGCAATGAACAACTCCACATCATCCCATCTTGAAAGTATCCTTCTGGCGACCGTTGGCATTCAAACAGTAGCGGTGTCCATCTACGCCGTCTTCCTGGTGGTCGTTGTCGTTCTTAACGCACTGGCGGCATTCTCCGTCTACACCGCAAAAAGCGACCACTCAGCGGCCTTTAGGGTCTACTTATTGCATCTGTTCGTTCTCAACATCGCGGCCAGCCTCATTATCGTTCCCTTGGATCTACTGAATATACTGCACACAACATCCTTGACCTTTGGCCAGTGCGCATTCTACACACTGTCTAATTGGCTACTCTTCGCCGTTATGGCTCATTCCCATCTTTTGATTACGATTAACCGATTGCTGGCGGTGATCCGTCCGTATTTCTACCGGCGGAGTCATAGTGTCCGCGCCGCCATCAGTTCCTGCGCCCTAACATGGATGTATGTGCTGTTGTGGCTACTGCCCTTGTTTGTCTACCGGATGGCCAGCCACCCGGTTGACTGTCTCCTGGACATCATCGATATTCCAGCTGCCATCAGCCGCTCCGTTGTAACATGGGAAATGATGACCTTTGTTGCTGTTCTTTTCCTACCAGTCATCGGCGTCATGGTGCTGTATCCCGTCATTCAGTGGCGTCGGCAAGCCTTTTTGAGAGTGCGTCCCATTACAGACATGCTTAGTCAGGATAGCGGCCGCTCGGAAGGGAGCGGTATAAGCCACCGCCGGCGCGCAGTCAGTACACCGGATCCACGGACTTTCCGCGTCCTGATGGCGCTAACCGGCAGTCTAGCCTGTTTCTGGCTGCCGTCGCTAATCTGGGAACTAGTCCAGCCGCTTGTGCAGCACAGCGCGGCCGCACAAGTATTCGATACGGTGAACGTAATTTTTGATGTTCTCTGGCTGGTGCAGGCCTTACTGGATCCAGTCCTTCTTATTTTCGCCTTCAGAGGTTCAAGGCGTAATTTATTGCGGTAAAAATCTCGTTCCCAAAACTAGAATGACCAGAAAAAATGGGAATCAACGCAAAAACGCCATTATGTTACCTACATTAAAAATGCACTCGCTTTTCATGCACGGGTACTGCATGACCGCGGTGTGGTAGGATACTGACTGTCTCATGTTGACGTGGAAAGGTGTCTTGTTTGCATTCTACACCATTAAGCGGCGATTTTTGAGAGAAGGTGACTCTCAAGTACGGTGTCATTATGAATACCCTCAGCTGAGCTCAACTACTAATACCCAAAAGTGCGTCCAGTAAAACAACAGCAAAACAAATGCAGAAACTGTTTAATTTAATGTCTGCACTCTGCAGTATGTAGAAACAACGGAATAAATAGAAATGCCGAAAAGTTTGATAATTATTCTATGACCACTTAAGACAAAGAGACAAATTACGAAAGTGCTCAGGAGTGTTCAGAGTACTAAGGGACGATAAACTATAAACCAAATTCAAACCTAGTCATTATCATTATAACTCCACTTCTTCAAATTGTACTCGTCGTTGTCTGTGCTCTCGCCACTGTCATACATGTACCCATCGGGCTCGCTGTCGAACGATACCGCTTCATATGCTTTTTGATTAGCTCGCTGATGGACTCGACATCGCCGACATTTGTACCTTTCACACCATTTCGAAACCACCAAATCCCTGACCGGCACTGTCAGTCCCCGTCCAAAGCGGCAAATGTTGTAAAAACTCGGGCAAAGCGACGAGTGTTGTCCATCAGTTTGAAAATATTCGCCATGTATACGCGCCAGCACTCTCTTGCGACCTTTCAGAAATTCCTTCGCTCGAAACAGTCTTTGGTATGGACGTTTAAACTTCCCCCGAAAACCAGCCACCACGAACTCGTATGCGTCCACCCCGATGACCTCCCCTCCGAAGTACCAGTGCCCGTTGGCGTTCACAAACACCTCTTCTTTCAGCTGGAATTTGGCGTCCCCAATAATCTGAACGGTCCGGGGTGTTCGCGGTTCAGTAGGGAAGGACAGCGGCTGCGGTGAAACCGTCCGCCACAGGTGGATATCGGCAAACTCCGCTGTCTGCAGTGCGCCAACATAAGTGGTAACAAAACTGCTTTTTACAGAAATCTAATTTAGGAAAGTGAAGAATTTTCACCCTTTGACAACTTTGGCCAGCTCAGCATCGGTGAATAGCGAAAATCGAAGCATGGACAGTGCGTCTCCCAGCACATTGCGTCGATTCCCGCCCACAGGCTCCACGCTGCCGCGGATGCAGGTGGCAGTTGCCCATCTGCAGTACAGGAAAATTTACAATGGACTACGTAAGTGGGTAGTTCTGAACTTCTGATAACATACATCTCGTAAGTATAACAACAACAACGCAAACCAGAATGATTATAATTTTCATAATAGCCCCTGCTTTTCCAGGCGAAGAAACTCGCCGTTTGCTATGCACAAGCAGCAAAGTTAGCTACTTTTTTATACTAAATCAGTCTAAATGGGATTTAAGCTACATATTTCTTTCAGAATTTTTAATACAGAAATTTTTCTTACGGATCTACATTATAGATTTGCAGAAAATTTCAAAATTTGGCATTACAGTGACTGTCAAATAGAATGGATGCTATAAAATGTTTAAAAACGTATCTACAGATACTAATCCCCAAGAATCAAGAGTTTGGGACGAACGAGGATGTTATGCATACAACGCAACCCGCTTATAAAGCCATTTTTACAGTATTTTAACTCAAGCTGTAGATTGACTGCCCCCTCACAGGCCTCACTTTCTTCAATTTCCGGAACTGTTTTCACTTCTGGCCGGCCTGCACCCCCTTACGGGCGGCAACTGCAAGTCTTTTGTCCCTCCTCTAATCTACCGGCAGTTTTACTTCACTGAATCCGATGAACATGGCACTCGTTCGGTATCCTGAATGTAGACCAGATCCGCTTTAAATTTTTTCTTGAGTTCCCCAGGTTGAAAGGTTATTTTGCGGTTCTCATTTATGGTTTTTGTAAGCGTGTCATTTCTGCATTCCGTACTCGTACAAGTTATTTTTTCGTACGACAGTCTTCGGTAAGAATAGTGAGGTTACTGTCGTATCGACATACATGGATCCGTGCGGGATTCAATTATTTCGGCTAGTCGAGTTTTACCTTTTACTACTTTTTCCGCACAACCTTTAACCCAAAACTAAACTATTTGCAATCTGTGCTTGCTTACAGGAGCGTCAGATCTACCATGTCGGACAATGTTGTCAATCCGCAGCGCCGCGGTGCAGTAGCCAATATCGCTAACCGCATGAAGCGGTCGCTGGCGCGTCCTGAGCTGAGCGACGTGGAGTTCGCCGTCGGGAGGGACCACGGCGAGGCCAAGATATTTCGAGCTCACAAGTAAGGATATGTCCCTGCACATCACATCGCTACTGCCGCGCTTTCCTTGTATGTGTGGCTAATTTTCTGCAGGTACATTTTAAGCGTCAGCAGTGACGTCTTCAATGCCATGTTCAACTTGGGCCGGACGGAGAGCGGGGCGGACCCCATCGAGATCCCGGACGTGTTCCCTGACGCCTTTGCGAATATGCTTAGGTAATCCTTCTGGTCGTACTTATTAGCTTTTGGAAACTGTTCCAATCCGTTTTAATTAAGTGATCAGAATATGCTAACAGCAGAGTCTTAATAGCTTTCTGTATACCGACACGATGGAAGACTTGACACTGGATAATGTGTACCAGACCCTGTACTGTGGGAAGCGCTACGACATCCCGCAGCTAGTGGAAGCCTGCTGCACGTTCTTGGCCGGCCAACTAAACGGGACCAATTGGCTGACACATTTCGAAAAGGTGTGTTACTCCAGTTTATGGCATGTAACCTCTCTTATAGCCTGGTTATTATTTTTAGGCAAAATTATGGGACGCTGAAAAAGCCACGCAGACGTGTTTAGAGTTTGTGGACCGGTCTACTGAACTGGCGCTGCAGTCCGAACATTTTGAAAACATGGAGCATGAGACGTTGATGATGATTCTGCGGCGCGATACATTGACCACCGACGAAAACACAATCTACTTGGCTGTCGAACGGTGAGCTTCCGACGCACAATAGTAAAAAATTCGAGTGTTGATAACAAAATTATGGTGTTCAAACTTAATTTTGGATTACTGCTGCAGGTGGGCGGCGGCTGCCTGCGCCCGTGCCGACATGGAGCCAACCCCCGAAAATCGACGGCAGACGCTGGGTGCGGCACTAAACCTTATCCGTTTCCCCATGCTCCGCATTGCGCAGCTGCTGGACGGACCCGCCAAGGTTGGTTCATATAAAGCGTACGTGCATGTATAGTGTAGAACGAAGTCAAGGCGCAACATAAAAACCGGTCTCCTGAGTGAAAACCTGCGGAATTGGTGTAATTTTGAGACTGAATAGGAAGCTGCCAAAGGTTTACCTTTAACTTCTTTTTACTTAGCCTGCCGGTTTGGCGGTCCGAATAAAAAAGATAGCCATGTGGCCCATGTCCTGGATTGTAGTCTGTATTTTTCATGATTGAAAAAAAACTTTGTGGTGAATGTTACGGATGTGCTTGTTCACTAAAGCAAGTTCTCGTTTGCGTGTTTTCTGCCGAACAAATAATTTTATATGACTGGTTTGATTGCTAGTGTAACGGCCTTTTTGCAGACTGGCATGCTGCAGCAAGCCGAATTGCGGGACATCTACCAATACAAACACGCCACAGTCAAGCCATCGCTGCCTTTCCCGACCGAGCCGCGTCAGGGCGCCGTGCACCGCGTCGGCGCTTTTACCTTCAAGGACCAGGAAGAGATCTTTGTGAAATCCGGCGAGTTGTGGTACGCGGCCCTCGTCACGGGCGTCAGCGCGCCCAACATAACCTTCATCTATGCGTACGCACAGAACGAGTCTGTGGTTGCACCCGACAAGATTATCCGAGCGGTGGATATTCTGAAACGCGGTCAACGGCTGTGTTACCACTACGGAGGTTGCTGCCGCTATCTTGCGGAATACGTCGGCCTGCGGCGGCCGGGAGTGCATTCGGTCCGTTATTGCTGGAAAGAGCACGGTAAGCGCTTTGCCAATCTGTGCTTGGATAGCGAAGATCTGAAAGCATGGAAGAAAGCCAAGCTCGCCGCCACGTGATCAAAATCCACATTGAACTGCTTTTCTCGCTGGTTTCGTTCACTTTAAGCGTACACAAATAACGTTTTTGCTGATGCACCATACTTAGCAAGTAATTTCATGTATTTCATCCCACTTCGGTGTTCCATTCTCTAAGGATGTGGTGGGCTCACAGATAACTGTTTGATGGCTGGAACGTATTTTTTGTTTTATCTGAAGAAGTCTTTTCTGGGCCATACGCTGTTCGTGGTATGAGTTGAGATGATAATATGTGAGCGAAAAGGCTGCAATCTGCACTTCACAGTAACTTCCAGCTATAATTATGTGTAGTGTATGTACTATAAAGTACTGTAGTACTTTATATGAGCCTAGCAACGTTGCAGTATCTCTGAGAGAATGTTTGTATGTTTTCCTACTTTTATATTTAGTCTATCATCAGTCGTCCTACTGTACACATCTAATAAAGTATTATTGGATACTTCACATTGGCGTGAAGGATGATAGCAATTTTTAAAAAAGTTTTTAATCTGGAATAATGTCTACCACTGGAAATACGGATGGTACTAGCACGAGTACCGTTGTCCGTACGTCCGTGACGCAGACCAGGCAGGATGTGGCCGGAGAAGAAGCGGATTCTACCGGATTGCCCCGCCTGGCGAAGTTCGATCCAGAGGTCATCAAACTGGAGACCTGGCGGATCCAGTTTGACAGTCACCTGTCCTCCCATGGGATGGCTACGGACAGGAAGAAGCCGCTGCTCCTGGGATCGTTGGCTCCGAAGGCAATGGAGATGCTAGCCTCCATGTGCCGTCCGAAGGATCCTGGCGCGTTCACCTTCGACGAGCTGTACAGTAAGCTCAAGGTCGCTTATAGTAAGCGTACGAACGTGCGAGTCGAACGAGCAAACTTTTCAGCATTAAGCAGCAGGCAGGTCAGACGTTGTTAGATTTCAGCAATAGCCTCAGGAATCAAGCAGTTAAATGCGATTTTCCAGATACATTTGTTGACGACCAGCTGTGCGCTGCGTTCATGTCAGGTGTAGCGAGTGAGACGACGCGTAGATACCTGTACTCATTGCCAGTCTCCTCAGTGGAGAAGTTCGATACGCTGTACGAAGAAGCAGATAAGTATGAGCAGAGTCGTGCAGATGCGAAGCAGTCAGGTTCAAAGTCGCAGTCGCCAGATGTAGCCGCTATAAAACGCGGAGGTTTTCATGGGCGTGGCCGAGGTCGTTTTAGAGGTCGCGGTGGTAACAACAATGTTGGTCGTAAGTCAGCATGTTTTGGCTGTGGCTCTACCAGTCATATGAAGCCAGATTGTCCGCACAAGAATGCAAAGTGCTATAACTGTGGAAAGACAGGGCATACTGCCAAGGTGTGCAAGGCACCGAAGAAGGAAGGCAGAGATCAGAGAAGGACTAATTATGTCAGAACTCAGGAGTACGATGTACTGAGGACAGGTCCAGTGACGCCCACGTCGATATTTGTACCGTTAACGATGAACGGTAAGAACGTGCCAATGGAGTTAGACACAGGATCGTCAGTGACAATCATGAGTAAGCTGACATGGCGCAGGGTTGGAGCGCCGAAGTTGAGAAAAGCAGATGAAGTACTGCACAGTTTTACTGGTCATCAGATACCGCTGATGGGTACTGTCGAGGTACAGGTACAGCATAGAGGCGTAATGAAAACGCTGAAAGCGCTAGTGACAGAGCGTGGTTGTAGCATTATTGGCCGTGATTGGATATCTCAGTTAGAGCTTAGTGCATTGAGTTTGAAGCAGTTGCAACAAGGTAACGTCTGCACAGTAACTGAGAAGCTGAAGTTGGCGCATGTGCTACAGAAGCATAAGGCTGTATTCCGAGATGAGCTCGGGTGTTGCAAGAATTTTAAGGCGCATCTGTATCTCAAGGAGAATGCGAGGCCAGTGTTTTGTAAAGCCAGACCCGTGCCGTTTGCTTTGAAGGAAGAAGTTGAAGAAGATATTGACCGGTTAGTCAGTATAGGTGTCCTAACACCCGTTGATCATGCCGAGTGGGCAGCGCCGACGGTTTACATAAAGAAACCGAAGAAAAATTTCAGGATATGTTCTGATTTGAGCACTGGTCTGAATGATGCACTTGACGTGCACAAGTATCCGCTACCGCACCCAGATGAGCTTTTTGCCAAATTAAATGGCGGTGTAGTGTTTTGCAAGATTGATTTGAGAGAAGCTTATAATCAGATCCCAGTTGACGATGAGAGTTCGAAGCTGCTCGTTATTAATACCCATAAGGGTTTGTTTAAATACAACCGACTGCCGTTCGGTGTGGCCAGTGCGCCTAGTATATTTCAGCAGCTCATTGAAAGTATCTTGCAAGGGTGTGAGAGAAAGAAAGAATTCTTGTCGCTAAAAGATGATTTGACGAAAGCTACTCAGTTAGTGCATTTCAACCCTGAATTGCCGCTAGTGTTGGCAGCTGATGCATCGAAGTATGGTATAGGTGCAGTGTTGAGCCACAGGATGCCTGACGGTAGTGATAAGCCGATAGCGCACATATCGAAGACGCTGACATCAGCTGAGCAGAATTACGGTCAAATTGAGAAGGAGGCACTCGGTTTAGTCTTTGGTGTAAAACGGTTTCACCAGTATCTGTACGGTCGAGAGTTCGTCTTGTTAACTGACCATAAGCCGCTGGTTACGGTGTTCGGAAGCAAGAAAGGTGTGCCAGTAGTTACTGCAAACAGGTTGCAGCAGTGGGCCATTGTGCTCATGGGTTACACGTTCCGAATCGAGTACCGTAGAACGTCAGATTTTGGTCAGGCAGATGGTCTCAGTAGACTGCCGATTAAGTCATCAGATTTGTTTGACGAAGAAGATTTGGGCAAGACAGAAGTGGTCAATTTGATAGAAAGTGAAATTCTATCCAGTATGCCAGTATCAGCTGAAGTGATTCGTGCAGCGAGTGCGAAAGACAGTGAGATTGACCGAGTCAAACAGTTCCATTTGAATGTATGGCCAAACAAGGTTCCAACAGAGTTAGTGGCGTACAGTCGCCGGAAGAACGCATATTCAATATGCGATGGTTGTTTACTGTGGAATAACCGAGTAGTTATCCCCAGTTCGTTGCGTGCACAGATACTGAAGTACTTACACAGTACGCATACAGGCGTAGTGAAGATGAAAGCGGAAGCGAGAAGCCACGTTTGGTGGCCTGGTATTGACGAAGCGGTAGAGAAAGTAGCCGGGAATGTGAGATTTGTTCGATGTTAGCGAAAGATCCCAGAAAGGTACCGTTACAACAGTGGCCGGTCCCACAGGGCCCGTGGCATCGGTTGCACATAGATTTTGCCGGACCGTTCAAGGGTCGAATGATACTCGTAATTGTTGACGCATTCTCGAAGTGGCTAGAAGCGTTTGAGGTCAAGAAAGCCGATACCAGTAACGTGATTTTCATCATGGAAAGTCTGTTTGCGCGATATGGACTGTGTACTGATATCGTCAGTGATAATGGACGTCAGTTTACGTCGGAACAGTTTCAGCAGTTTTGTACTGAAAGAGGGATTAAGCATATGACTATAGCCCCGGGACACCCGCAGTCCAATGGGCAAGCCGAGCGCTACGTTGGTGTAGTGAAGAAGGGCATAGAAAAAGGCATGCAGTCCGGGAAAACGTTTGCCGATGCGTTACGGGAGTTCCTTAGTCGTTTTCGTACTGTACCAAATGGTACTACTGGAAAAGCTCCGTGCGAGTTGTTTCTAAATCGAAAGGTCAGGACTTTATTAGACCTGGTTCATCCTGTAGCGCAGGTGCACGAGAAAGCCCGAGGCAGGCAGAAGCGCAATTTTGATAAGCGCACGAAAGCGCGAGCGTTCATAACAGGACAACTAGTCCAAGTAAAGTTTCCGGTTGAACAGTGCTGATAAGTGGGCTGCAGGGCAGCTGGTAAAACCCATCGGTAAAACGATGTGGGAAGTTAAAGTAAACGGTCAAGTGTGGCGAAGACATGCTAACCAGATGCTACCACGCCGTTGGTTGACCGCCGAAGAGCACGCAGAGTCGCAGATGGCGGCGAGTGCACAGAGAACACAAAGCCCGTCCCGATGCTACCACCGGTAGAGGTTGCGACGCAGCGTGAGCGTAAGGCGTCAGAGGCGCGACGCATGGTTGCGGCGCCAGAGGCGCGACGCATGGTTGCGGCGCCAGAGGTGCGACGTGAACCCGCGGCACCAGTTGAAGAAGCGCGATGCCTGGAGGCTGCGCTTGAGGCGCGACGCGATGTTGCGGCGCCGAAATCTGAGTATAGTATGCAGGCTGCACCGCAGCCTGTGCCCCCTGTTGTTATTGCAGGTCCAGACCGTGGACCGCCACCCCCAGTGAAGGCGGAAGTCATGGTTCCCACGGCCGAAACGAAGCCTCCGAAGAAGCCATCGGAGAAGGCTGCTGCAAAGCCACCGAAAGTTCCGAAGGCCCCGATTCCGGAAGCAGAACTCCGCCGAAGCGATCGGACAAGGAAGATGCCGGATTACCTCCTCAAAGACTACGTGACGAAAAAGATTTTCGTAGAATTTCCGCCGATTTAAAATTAATATTTATTCCTGTTTTCATTGTCCGTGTGTTTTATCTTATTGTGGGGGAGTGTAGTGTATGTACTATAAAGTACTGTAGTACTTTATATGAGCCTAGCAACGTTGCAGTATCTCTGAGAGAATGTTTGTATGTTTTCCTACTTTTATATTTAGTCTATCATCAGTCGTCCTACTGTACACATCTAATAAAGTATTATTAGATACTTCACACCTAGCAAAAAAACTGCGAGTAAAAATCGCGTACGGCAGGCTGAAATAGTGTGTAGTGCGTACTTAAATTTACTAATAAGAACTGAGTTCACGACGACTTCCGCCGGGTGCAGAAAGATTTGCCCAGCGACATTTTCGTGGCAGACCTCTGTTTCTTGATCGGTTCTTCCCAGTTCAAATAACAGTAAAGTTTATGCTACTTGGGTAGCCTATAAAAAAGTGCCGCTAATACAAAAGATTCGTGATTCTCGCCTGAACTGCAGACTGGCAGTGTGTCATTTTGACGTCACTAACAAACAGGGATTCTACAGTGCGCCAACAGGAGAACTATGCATGCGCTGTGTTTCTGGTCGCGTGCTAAAATTTAAGGCGGTAGAGTAATACCGTGGCCATAGAGCTACCGCTTAATTTAAGAATACTGTAAGCATTTTTATCACAAAATTTTTCCTCGTTTGCAGAGGACAGTTTTCTGTAAATTTTCATGTATCTGCCCAGTTAACAAACAGTACATTTTGCGAACGCGCGCTGTTTAAAAAGTGCCGGGATAAGCACTAGTTTCTATGGGCCTACGACAACTTCCCGTCGCACCTGAGTCGCACGGCTGCCAACCGCCACAGGGCGCCATCCTGGCGAGAATCATCAATTAGAGCACGACACGGGTGTCTTAATTTCATAAATTTCCATACAAAAATCGTAGTGGACAAATTGCCGCACACGGGTGGCGCTCCTAGGCATTTGTTTCTTCAGTCTGTCACTCTGTCCCTGGTCATATTTCATCGCTGATCGTTTTCAATATCCTGAATGTGGACCAAAGCCAACAACCCGGATTTGATTTTTTAAAGCGGATCTTGAGCTCTCTGTCGACACATGGATACGTACGCGTAGTTTTATAAGGGTCCCAGCTTGTCGGGTGAAAATCGATTCATCAGTGGTTGCCCACTTTCACCGCAAACCATCAGCCCGATATGTTTGCAGCCTTTTTTCGTCGTTGTACTCTGAAGTCTTAAGCTCTGACTCTATGACAATGTCCGGCAATTCTACCGCTGTGCCGGCTGTGGACCCGCAGTCCCGCGGGACCGTAGCCAAGATTGCCAACCGCATGAAGCGGTCTATGGCACGCGAAGAACTGAGCGACGTGGCGTTTACCGTCGGGCGAGACCATGACGAGCCCAGGATCTTCCGCGCCCACAAGTAAGCCGGCGTCCCTTCCAAGGGTATCGCTAATGTTATGTTTTCCCTGTATATTTTCTACAGGTATATACTAAGCGTTAGCAGTGACGTCTTCAACGCCATGTTCAACGGGGGTCTGGCGGAGAACGGGGCGGACCCTATCGAGACGCCGGATGTGTTTCCCGAGGCCTTCGCTAATATGCTCAGGTAATACTCCAGGTTTCATATGCTAGCGCTATGTGAATTAATGCAAATCTGTCTTGATTAACTGTGTAACACTGTTCGACGAATCTCTATAGTTTTGTTTACACCGACGCAATGGACGGTCTGAAGCTGGATAACGTGTACCAGACATTGTACTGCGGGGAACGCTACGATATCACGCAGCTGGTGGAGGCCTGTTGTACTTTTCTGGCCAGCAAACTGAACGGGACAAATTGGCTGACATATTACGAAAAGGTGCGTACTTCCAAACCACTTTTTGCTGTTGCGCACGATTTTTGTCTTACAATGTATTTGGTAATTTGCAGGCAAAGTTATGGGGTGCTGAAAAGGCCATGCAGGCATGCCTTGAATTTGTGGACCGATCCAGTGAATTGGTCTTTCTATCGGTACATTTCGAGAATATTCCTCACGAAACGCTCATGATGATTCTGCAACGCGACACCTTAACGACTGACGAGAACACCATCTACTTGGCTGTTGAACGGTAAGCGTACGGAAATTATGGAACGTGCAAGGAAAGCTATATCTTTGCTTGCGCAAATGCTGATGGGAGGCGAAACAATTAACAATCTTGCTGAAAACTGAAGAGCTGGGTGTGCCGGGATAACAAACGTTGAACAATTGTTTTATGTTTGGATTCTGTAGGTGGGCGGCGGCAGCTTGTGCGCGAGCTAATATGGAGCGATCCCCAGAAAACCGGCGTCAAACGCTGGGGGCGGCGCTCTACCTCATCCGTTTCCCATTGCTGCGTGATGCTCAACTGCTGGACGGCCCCGCTAAGGTAGGCCCGCTTTCGGTTAAACTGTGACTGCACCTCCAGTAGGCACCAGGCGTCATCATCTGTATTTACATAATATATCGCTTAGGTGCACAAGAAATGTCGCTTTACAGTTTTCATACCGTACTTGGTAGTTATCTCTTGCATGCATTTACTATGGACGACAAAGTAGTCATATTTGGACCGTTAGCCGCTTTTGGTTTGCTGCGCATACGACTAGCCACCGCCGCATACCAATCGCTATAATATCCGCTTACTGAGCAGTAAGCGCGGCAACCGAGTTCTCTGTTCTCTCATTGAGTTGCACACATGGCTAAGCCGCAAAACCGTTTCCGATGTTAAGACAATTTTGTCTTCCGTTGCATGTAAAATATCTGAACGCTCGTTCTTGTGCATTGTGCATGTCTCGATTTGCGGTATAAGCTGTCTGTGTATCACCTGTTTTTATTGATCAATCATTTTACGTGTTATAGCATAGCAAACCGGAATTTAAGATCTAAGCACGGTTAACCGGTTAACAAGACATTTCTAAAACTGAAACAGCACGAACTCTGCATAAATTTTGTATTTTCGGTAGTTAACTGCAAATCTTGGTGAGCGCAAATTGTAATCGCTTGCCCGAGGGATGAGTCTTTCCCTCGTAGTTCGTAAACAGCACACTGTCTCTTACTTTTTTTGGAAATACCGTACCTTCCAGTCTGCGAGACCACTGTGTGTTAATACTTTGTAATAATGCACATTGACAGTCTTGTTCAGCCAAAGTCTAAACAATAGTCCAAACAAGTCTGGCCTATGTTTCTTAAGCCGGTTTGTTTTTTTAGACGGGCTTGCTGCAGCAGGACGAATTATGGGACATCTGCCAGTACAAACACGCTACCGTTAAACCGCCGCTGTCCTTCCCGACCGCGCCGCGGCAATGCGTAATGCACCAGATCGGCGCCTTCTGCTTCAAAGATCGCGAGGAGATCTTTGTGCGCAACAGGCAGTTCTGGTTCCCGGCCCACGTGACCGGGATCAGCGCGCCCAACGTAGCCTACGTGTCGACGTGCAGCGGGAAGAGCGGCGTGGTTGCGCCGGAGAAGTTGATCCGGGCAGCGGATTACCTGAAACGCGGCCAGCGAGTGTGGGTGGGCCGCGGGTGCTGTGCGCTTCCCACGGTGTACGGTTCACTGCGGCGGCCGGGTGTACATACGGTCCGTCTGGCAGGGAAAGAACGCGGTAAGCCCTTCGCCGATTTGAGTCTGTGCGACTGGGACCTGGACGCCTGGAAAGCGGCCAATCGCGCTGCACTGTGAAATGTGCACAGACCACAACCGTTTGGTTACGTATGTAACTATTTAGTAATTGTAATGGTAATTTTTTTATTTTGAACTGGTAATCATACTGATACGTGACGTGTATATTGTGGCTGTATATTATCCACAAGTTAAGTAGTTAAGCCATTTTCTCGTAATAGCCGCTGGAACATAAATAGGTGCGTTTTCCTACAACACACTTTTTAGCTGTCCTTGTCTGATTTTGTGCTCCTGCAACTGCAATGCATATATTGATTTTTACAATATTTCAGACTGTTTCGAACTATGTTAAGTCCGTAGCAACTGTTGAAGAATGATAAGTTCAGTTGAAAAAGTCTAATAAAGCAACCAATGCGGCGTCTGTTATGCAGCAGTCGCTATCGCAAACATCCTACAAGCTAGACTAGCCGTTGCGCATTATGGCATTAACATTATCCAATCCAGTCAGTATAAGAGCGCCGCTCCGTTTAAGACCATTCTCCTTTCAAAAACCAAGTCAAAAGAACAATATTACACGACTATTCGAAAGATGAACGGCGCATTCAAGGCGAAACGACTTCATACTGGAGAACCGATTCCAGAACATCGAGTGCAGTCAACTGATTCTTCGTCCTCGTATCGATGGTCTTGTTTTTGATGCGGTAGTAAACCACGCGCTCCGGGTCCCGCCAATGCTGCAGCGATTCATCCGCCAGATGAAGGTCCATTCGGTCTCTGAACGTCAGGAAGAGATGCATATCCTTCACAATCAGCTGGTCACACACGTTGCGCCAGCGCCGCGCCATGTCAGCTCGCCGGTCCGTCCAGCCCAGCAGTGAATACTTCCGTATATGGCAGCGCGCCAGAACAATACGCGGAATGCGCAGGTTCTTGGCGCGCAGAATATCCGTTACAATGTGCAGAGGACTGTGGAGGAGCGGATGCGACAACATCCAGCGCCGGTCATCGCTGCTGACGACCACCAGAGTTTTCGTGGACGATGTAACCATCTTATGCAACATGCAAGCTACCAATTCACCGCTGCACTGTGTCGTATCGATCTCCACGCGTGCGGCCAGTGGAGAGGACTTTAGAAGGCGGTTCCACGTGTAGCATGTCTCACTGGCTTTCACTTGTTCGCACGCGTTGAGAAACGAGAAGACTCGCGACCAGAGCTCGACTGGCAAATGCTGCATATTGGATAAGCGGTGTGAATCAGTGGCGGAAACTGGGTCAACGTTTGCCTAATAACAATCAGTGCAGTTTTGCAGTGCAAAAAATATTTTAAAACAGCTAACGGCTTCAGGAAAATACAGTAGTACAGATATCCAGACTACGGCTAAAAGCACATAAACTCGGCAAAATCTCCTTTCTTAAATCGGACAACTAGTAATGCAGCTGAGTGTTCTTTAACAACCTGGCGCTGAGTCATACATGGAGAGTGTTCTAAATGTGTGAAAGCGTATGCCTTTTCCAAATTTAGCAACTAGGATCTGAGGGGACATTTGACTGCTCGCCATTCGAAAATGAATTGAAACTGCACTACAGTGGAAGGATGTAACTACTGCAGCTTACAGCACCGGGTAGGCTGGCAACATTCCACGCAGCATCCATACAGTCCTGACGAGGCCGTCGCCATCCTGCTTTTAGCTCAATCCGGCCAATACGAGACAGTGGCAGTGCCTACAGCAAACATAAACAGCTCCATATATCAAATACCGTTGTCGAAAGGAATAAGTTCTATTCCTGGTTTTTATGAGTCTGATTAAAATTTGTTAACCGCGGATTTTTATTTGATAATTTACGATATTCCCAGTAGGCACAACGCTCTATGGCGGCAGTGCGTGAGCGTGCGAATTAACTTACTCCAGACTCCAGTGCAATTAAGCGCGGTATTTCTTTGGACGTGGCAAGACACGTTAAATTTCGTCCCTGAACGTCAATGGCAAGTGTGTCCGTCATGCGAAACCATTGCTCCACAAAGTCGGGCCGCTGTGTGACCGCCAACAGCTGCGAGTCCCCGGTCAACTCGATGCAGCACTTTTTGAAGGGGGCTTTGTGGGGCGCTTTGTCCCACTCATATGACAACATCTGGACCAGCGGCTGCACGCGCGGCCACGCCACCACTTCACGCACCAGTGTCCCATTCAACAAACGCAACTCCACGAAAGCATAGGCATAATCGGGACCACCCGCCAGAAAACGGGCGCGATGCCAACGCCAGGGGGCGTCAGCCGCCAATTGGTAAAGGACCAGTGCGGGACCACCATACGTGAGGCGAGAGGCGGGGGTCCAATTCCGGCCCTGGACGAAGTTAGCCCAGGGAACCAACAGGGCTTGGAACTGCGGGCATCCGAAGTTGACGGTCAGGCCGTGCTTGCCGTTGACATCCACTACCAGCCCCTGCCACAGCTCGTCCTGCTGGGTCTTCACAGTCACTGCGCCGTAGCGCCAGATGTCTTTCTTGAACATTCTCCTGATGGTCGAAATAACTAATGGGCGCCAATCAACATTGCGCTGCAAAATGAATTCATAGACTAAACAGTGCTTTAAAGGCAAGAGTGAAAACTTTGGCGTAGGCAATCGATATAAGGCTGAAAATTCAAAATTTTGCAATTGTAGTTGTATGTACAAAATTTTGCAACTACATAGTACAAATTTACAATTCGTGAAAATACCAATGGTAGTTATATGTCACAACCCAACCGCCATCTCGTTGCGGTTGTCACATTTTCAGAACATTCAGTTACAGGACGAGTATTTCCGGTTTTTTTGCCATTGTTTGTTAGCGGCATCGACCCCGCCGCACTGTGTACTGTCTCAGTTTTCTGGACTCAGTAAATGGAGGAATTAATGCACTAATAAATGAAGTGCAAAATATAGCTCCATACATCAAATACCGTTGTCGAAAGCAATAAGCGTGCTAATAGTATCGGATCAGACGGTTATGCGGACCTCCTCTGTCAGGCTCTCTGATCAGCACGTTGACTCAGTCGGATAATCGCATTGTCACGGAGAACGCTGGAAGTCTGGAAGCGATGGCTCATGAGCAGACCCGCTGCATCTTAAGGAACGCCGAGAGCAACGTTATCTTGGATATCATCCGCTGAGCGGATTGTGAACTTGTCTGAAGCGGCTTCGTGGACGTGTCAGCCTGTCAGGCCCATTGGAACTGATTGTGAGGTACTGCAATAACTTAATCTGTCGGTCGGCGACTCGGCACTTACCAGGTAGGGAGATGCGTAAAGCAGCGAAATAACCGTTTATTTTGTAGCTGTGATTCAAAACTTTATACGGTTGGCGTTTGCAAGATGTGTTTCTGCTGTTCTGCCGAACAGTATAAATTTCTTTTGCAATACCCTTCAACATTCACCTTGGTAGTAGCGGTGGACCGTAACGCTTTCTTGGCACTCTGGTCTCATGTAGAGCTGTATACATATGACAGGCTTCGACAAGTTAAACACTAGAAGAGCCCCAGTACACCTACCACCCGACACTAGGCCGCAAAGCTATGGATTGTCAGGTTTTCTTCCAAGTTCTTCTACATTAGCTAGCCAGAATGGAGCCGAATGGCCTGTCCGTGAAAGATAATAAAAGGTCAGATGTGATTACTCTCGTCCCGTGGGAGCGCGGAAAAGCACTGGCCGTTGATGTAACCTGCGGGGATACACTCGCTTCCTCATACTCGTATATCGACCGCACTTCCACGTGCGTCGGCGCAGCAGCGGAGCACGTAAAAAGAGGAAAACTGACGAAACACGGCTGGCTGCAACCAAGATACCATTTCGTGGCAGCCGCCTTCGAAATATACGGATCCTGGGAAGGCGGAACTAAAAAGCTGGTGGAAAACGTTGGCAACGGCATAGTTTCCAGTGCAGGTGATGCTTATTAAAGCTTTAGGGTATCTTCTTATGGTTAGTTTCTTTCCCGTAAAATCATTATACCATTTTTGACGGTTTCGTATCGCAAAACTCCTGAATAGTGCGACAAGATTCGGAGTCACATTTTACAACATGAATTGACATTATCATATCTAGAGTAGGCAACATCAAATTAAGTACAGTTTCTATTTTCTGCAGCGAACGGCAAAGTACTTACTCCTGCATTCACAGTTCATAAAGTACTGGAAAAACAAAAGAAGTCAATAAAGCAATCGTCTGATACTAGTAAAGCTACTAAACAGCTTGAAAAATCAATGTGACAGGGGCCGATACTGCACAAACCATCCTTGAGTATCAAGTAAGGTTAACTGGTTCTTCATCCGCGTATCTATTATGATCTTGTCTATGATACGATAGAAAAGGACAGTGCTACTCCACCAGTACCGACGGGATGGGTCAGGACCGTCAGGCAGTGGGATGTCGATTCGGTCTTCATACGTCAAGAGTATGTGCGTATCCTCCAAGATCAGCTGGTCGCATACCTCACGCCAAAGTGTCGCCATATCCGGTCGCTCGTCCGTGGTGCCGAGTAGCGAATACTTTCGGATTCGGCAGCGCGTCAACAAAATCTGCGGAATACGCAGGTTCTTGGCACGCAGAACATCGACCACAATGTGCAGCGGACTGGGAAACAGTGGATCGGACGTGCCCCGGAGGAAGCGCTGCTTGTCATCGCTGCTAGTCAACACGAGAGTCTTGGTAGACGACATGACCATCTTATTCACCATCCCGGCCACGGTTACGCCGCTGTGCTGGTCCAGATCAATCTCCACACGCACGGTCAATGGAGATGACTTGAGGAGATGGTTCCACGTGTAGCACGTCTCACTGGCTTTCACTCGTTCGTACGCATTCAGAGAGGAGAAAATTTGCGACCATAGCTCCACAGGCAACTGTGGAATTGTATGGGCAGTAGTTGTCTGCAATTTGTGGCAGTTTGAGAAGTACATCAGACCAATAGGGCGTTTGACTTACACCGCTGGCTAAAGCTTCAGTATTCGGCGACGTATCCATACCACTGAGGCTGCTCTCCTGACGAGTCGGTTTCCATCCCGCTTTCAGCTCGGTCTGCCCAATCCGGGAAAGAATTTGCGCCTAGAGACACCACAAGAATCATAATAGTGTCAAATGGGATTAAACTCAAACGACTTCTACGATTGTCAACTGGCAGCAGAATTCAGTAACTTACACAATCCGGTGCGATCAAGCGCGATACTTCCTGCGACTTCGCCAGACACGTAAGGCCTCGTCCATCAACATCAACAGCAATTGTTTCCGTCATGCGCAGCCATTGCTCCACTAAGTCGGTTCGTTGGGTAACCGCCAGCAGCTGCGGATCCGCCGTCAACTCGATGCAGCACTTTTTAAAGGGGGCTTTGTGGGCTCTTTGTCCCACTCACACGACGGCATCTCGGACAGAGGTTGCACGTGCTCCCATGACACCGCTTCCCGCATCAACGACCCATCACCCAAGGACAGCTCCACAAAAGCGTAACCATATTTAGAGCTACCAGCCAGGAGTTTGGCAGGGTGCCAGCGCCAGGGTGCGTTGGCATTTAACTGATAAAGGGCCAGAGCGTGTACGCCAGTCTGCAGACGGGAATCGGGTGTCCAAGTGTGACCATCAACGAAGTTACCCCAGGGAACCCGGACGGCTTGGAACTGCGGGCATCCAAAGTTGACAGTCAGGCCGTGTTTGCTGTTGACATCCACTACCAGTCCGTGCCACAACTCGTCCTGCTCGGTCTTCACAGTCACTGCACCGTAGCGCCAGATATCTTTCCGGAACATTGTTTTAATGGCCAGTCAACGGCATTAAACGGAAATCAGACTGCGCCGAGGAATGATTCAGAAAAAAACCTGTACATTTGAATTCTGATTCCAGAAAACTTAGAGGAATAAAAGAAAGAAAGATACTGCGGAAAAAGCTCAGCAAACAGCCACATGCTTTAATTCTTCTGTCTTCAAGATCCGACGCGAAATATTGGTCAGCTGGTGAAATAGTGATTCATGTGCATCTTAAATGCTGCGGCTAATCAGGCGAGAACAACGACGAAAGCGCTGGCACGTGTGAGTCGGCAGCCGTGCGTTGATCTTGTGAAAGTACGTACATTGTAGTACGAGTTCGCAGTGGAAGTACGCCCAACACAAACCTTAACATGTTCATTGCAGGAATGCAGGCACGTACAGCATCATGACTTGTATCATGTACGTCTAGTGTTCTCGAGATATGACAGCTATTAGTAGCAACTTATCAGCTGTAGTAAAGTTTTGGTTCGTTTTACGCAATAACGGTTTTACATATTATTTTGAAATTACGTACTGTCACGTACAGATATTTACTGAGCGCCAATACAAAGTACATTTACTTTGTTAGCAGCTCAGGAGCTGCGTGCGCTTTAGCAGACTAAGCAACAACACTGCATCTACTTACGTAGTACTACGTAGTACGTACATAGACTACGCCAAATTTTGCCAGGTACAACATTCGTACAACACAGTAGCGTCACATTCGCATTCACGAGAATCATTATTTTTCTATTCCATCTTTTTCGGTTATAACGCCCGATGCCGTACAATTTTTATGGCTTTTATGCCGCATTCTAACTCTAACATAAGAAATCTGTATTCAAGCATTTAATCGTACAGACATTTTATAGCATGACTTGGCATTATCATATCGATGCAACATTACGGTATATCAAAATAATGCGGTTTCTATTTTCTGCAGAGAGTAACATTCCTGAAGTCTTGAAAATACAAGTGCACAGCAATCAGTACGAATGCTGGCTGCCTATGGTTAACACCAAGTATTAAATGTAATATTAAACTATAAATATTAGTGCTGATATTGCAATACTTCATAAAAACAATCAAGTGATACTAGGCTACTAGCACGCGAATGAACAGCTTGCAGATTTAAGGTTACAGAAGTTGATATTCCAGAACCGATTCTTGAGTATCGAGTAGGGTTAACTTGTCCTTCATCCGTGTATCGATGGTTTTGCCTTGAATACGGTAGAAAAGCACACGATCAGAACTCTCCCAGCACCTGGATCGGTCAACCAGCTGAATATTCATTCGGTCTTCATACGTCAGAAGAATGTGCGTATCCTCCAGGGTCAGCTGGTCACATACCTCACACCACAGTGCCGCCATATCCGATCTCCCGTTCGCGGTTCCCAGCAGTGAATGCTTCCTGATGCGGCAGCGCTTCAGTACAATCCGCGGAACGCGCAGGTTCTTGGCGCGCAGAACATCGACCACAATGTGCAGTGGACTGGGAAGCGGCGAATCCCTGGGCCATTGTTTCAGGCGTCGCTCGTCATCGCTGCTGGTCAGTAGGAGGGTTTTCGTAGACGGCATGATCATGTGATGCACCATACCGGCCACCGTTACGCCTCTGTGCTGGTCCAGATCAATCTCCACGCGCACGGCCAATGGTGGAGACTTGAGGAGACGGTTCCACGTGTAGCAGATCTCACTGGCAGTAACTCGCTCGTATGCATTCAGAAAGGAGAAAATTCGTGCCCACACCTCCACAGGCAGCTGCTGAGTATAAGATTCGCAGTTTGCGTCAATGGCGATCGTATGGCCAGGGCTCGGCGACGTATCCGTGCCATTGACGCTGTTCGCCTGACGAGACCTACTCCATCTTGCTTTCAGCTCAGCTTGACCAATCCACGAAAGCACTTGCGCCTAGAGCCAAAACCACAGCCTGGTTAAGCAACGCAAATGTCTAGCAGCAGTCATTACCAGTAGAACTTACAATTTCAGACTCCCGTGCGAACAAGCGCGGTATTTCTTTCGACGTCGCCAGACACAGTAAACTCCGTCCCCGCATACCACGAGCGATTGTACCCGTCCTGGACAGCCAATGCTCCACAAAATCGGGTCGTTGGGTGACCGCCAGCAGCTGTGGATCCCCGGTCAACTCGATCCAACACTTTTTGAAAGGGGCTTTGTGGGGCGCTTTATCCCACTGGCACGACGGCATCTCGGCCAGCGGCTGCACGCGCTCCCACCCCACGACATCCCGCACCACCGTCCCATCCGTCAAGATCAGCTCCACAAAAGCGTACTTATAATCGGAACTACCCGCCAGGAGGCAGGCACGATGCCAACGCCACGGAACGTTTCTTGTCAACTGGTAAACAGCCAGCGCGGGACCGCCGAACTGCAGACGGGATTCTGGTGTCCATGTCCGGCCCTGGACGAAGTTAGCCCAGGGAACCAGTGCGGCCTGGAACTGCGGGCACCCGAAGTTGACGGTCAAGCCGTGCTTGCTGTTGACATCCGCTACCAGTCCGTGCCACAACTCGTCCTGCTCGGTCTTCACAGTCACTGCACCGTAGCGCCAGATGTCTTTCCTGAACATTCTTCTAACGACCAATCAACGACATAAAACGGAAATTAGACTGCGCTGGGGAATGATTTAGAAATAGTCCCGTAAAAGTCGGTACTGAAAACTTAGCGGAATAAAAGAAAGAACGGAAGTAGAATTACACTCTTCAGTGCACGAAAAGTCCTGCTAACTCTAAACAGACGACATAGCGTAAGCTGACGTGAAAAAATCATGAATGCCGATGAGCTGCAAATGCATTCTTTAGTTCTTCATGATCGAACGCGAAAATGGCGATCAACAGAAGTGATCGAGTGCAGCCAATCAGGGGAGAACAAGGACAGCGCTGAAGTGCTGAGTCGGCAGACAACAGTGCAGGGTTGATCCCGCTTAAGGCGTACGAGCACGCAGTACAATTGTACAAGTACGCACTGCATGTACTTACTTTAATACAAGCCAGAATTCCATAATCGGTTGCGCAAAGATACAGCGAAAAATGCAAATTCATGGGTTACGCTAACAAAAGTGTGTAGTGCAGTGGCTGTCGCTTCAAGCTCTAATATTGCACTACCTGTATCTGTACGCAATCAATTGTGGATCCGGCTTCTACATGCTCCCATTGCAGGAAAACGGGCATGTACCCCGGCACATGTACGAAAATATGTAATACATTAACGTAAAAAAACCATAACTTTACAATAATAATGACAGTGTTTGCTAGTCATAAACCTAGAAAATTACGGTAATGACATTCTCGCTTTAACATTAATTTCAACATGATCTTTAACATTTCTCGCTTTAACTTTCTTTTAAATTACGGTAATGACATTCTCGATTTTTCGTTCCGCATTTTAACCGTAAGTGGTTACCACACTGTGGAAGAAAACTGTAAGCGGTGATAAAGAGGTACACAAAGACTGCTGCAAGCCTGCAAGAAATGTATCCATTCGTAGGCCCGGAGGTAGTGATGGTATTCCAGGTGATTCCCTATTTAACATGAGACCATTTCTTCGCTAAACAGATGTGCATTTTGCAAGCACTAGCTGCATCCAGATCACACGACTGCTTCTAATCAAAAGATTTTAGCAATAGGTGCCTAGAAACTCAGTGCTGCGTATTTTGTTATGGAATCATCAGATCCTTGTACGTCGTACGATGTTGTCAAACCGCTGGTGGTGTCATTACACGATTACAGACTTGCCGCCATCAAAGTATAAACTATACACACAACTGGCCTTCGGCTGGAATTACGGCAAATGAGACCGAACTGGCGTCTTGTTTACACTGCACAATCGGTGAGATCATCGTTGGTGATTCATTACCGATGATTTCATCGACTGCGTGAACTAGCTAGTAAAGTACAGTAATTGCTGTTGTCACCTGATGCAGCAAGTCAATACGTGAACCAACTTGTTTTTACTGCAAGCCACAAACTGAAAAGAACACTAATACTGATTCCTGAATGTTGCCACATATAATCGGCTAGTCTATGTTCTGCCGTGTCAGTTAAATTTAAGCTTGAGATTGAGTTGTCGGCAACTTTTTGCACGTTTAACTGCTGCTAATTTTCCTTCGGGACAGTTTGCCAGTCCCGATCCTGTACTAAATGCAAGGAATCTGCAAAGGGAACCAAATTCCGGCCACTTCCGACTCCGGTATCCGTAGTTTCTTGAACGCTGCGTTGACCAGCGGTGATCTGAGTGATGTACAGTTCGCAGTTGGGCGTGATTATGGCATTTCTAAGATCTTCGCAGCGCACCGGTAAGCCTTTACCTATATGATACTCTTACGACGACCACTTCCTGCATTAACTACCTAATTTTTGTAGAAATATTCTTAGCATGCGCAGTCCGGTTTTTCGGACGATGTTCTATGGAAGCTTACCGGAAAAATGTGATGGCGCCATTGATGTTCCCGATGTTCATCCGGATGCCTTCGCAAATATGCTCAGGTAATTGGCATCGGCAGCGCATTACTGTTTCCGAGAGACGCGCTCCAGAGTTTCATGTAAACATGGTTCTTGGTGTTAGCTGCTTATACGCTGACAGCGTTCACCTCAACCACGAGAACGTTTTCCCAACGCTGTACTGCGCGGACAGGTACGACATACCGCTGTTGACCGAACACTGCTCCCGCTTCATCTTTGGTGACCTGAACGCCGGCAGTTGCCTAACGTATCTGGAAAATGTACGTTTTCGTCATTGCTCAACACTGTAGAGTATATTTAAAACACCGAGACACGAATACGTAATCCATATGTAGTATACCGCAATTGCTTCTAAAAGCGAAACACCTTGACGGAACACTGATGCGACCAGTGTTCTTTGTATATCGTGAAAATATTCAATAACGAAGGATGTTATATGGTCTGTAGGCTGTTAAATGGCGTGCAGACGAATTCGTCGATCCTTGCTTGATGGTGGTAGATGCTTACGGGGAATCCATTCTGCGCTTCAAACGATTCATCCAAATAGAAAGGAAAATGTTGGAGATGATTCTGCGGCGCAGTTCACTGCGGGCCTCTGAAAATGCCATCTACGTGGCAGTGGAAAAGCAAGTGCTGCTGAGCATTTTCACTTTCTGAACTGGTTTTGTGTTCTTGTGATTGTACAGTCATACTGCAATTCAAAAATCTTCGGGACTTGTCTGCTAAAAAACAGACAGACCATTTCGTAATTTTTAGTAGTTTTTACCGTACGTACTTCGTACAAACAGACCAACCAATAATACCGGACCAATTCAGCTAATATGATGCACTGTCAATCAGTTCCAACGGGGACTAGGTTACATCTGACCGCTTGTTTTATAGGTGGGCAACAGCGGCATGCACCCGTAATAACGAGGAACCAACTGCTGCTAACCGGCGGCGGATACTGGGTGAGGTGTTGTTCCTCGTACGCTTTCCGCTAATGAGCGATACTGAGCTGCTAGATGGACCCGCCACGGTGGGTATCTGAACGCTATATTTGTCAAACACGGAGAATATATGTGCAGATAGCTTTGTTCTCATAGAGTGGCCTACTACTGGAAGCAGAATTGTTGGACATTTACCGGCACAAACATGCCACCATGCAGCCGGAAATTCCGTTTTTAGTGGAGCCAAGAAGCTGCCTGCCGCGCCATTATCCGGATAAGGAACCTGAGCTTGAAGCTGAGTCACCGTTCTGCTTAAGGAAGATCGTCAGGTCGTTCCACTCGTAGGCCAATAAGCTACGGAAGCGCTCACGTTTGGTGCAACAAACGCCAGTGCGTCGGTGCGTGAGAAAAACATATTTTTAGCCGTCCTGCTGACTTACAGCGGTTTGGTATCTACAGAATTACCTTTCCGCTACCGGTTAATATGGTTGTTATTGAATTTACAGTTCGCTTTTGTGTTTTTGCAGTCTGCCGATATGGAGCTTGATTGCGTTACGTCGTGGACAAGACGGTCATTTTGGATTTACTCTTGTATGTTTGAACATTTGACACATTTGACCTTGTATCCTTCCAGCAGGCTACACCGTTATACGAAATATTGCGCCATCTCGTAAACTAAATTATAGGCCAAGAACCCGTACATTTTTGCCAGTGTAGCAAGCACATACCAGTAATATAGTTGTCGTGGAATACTGTTTAGTGCGGCGAGAGATCGTAACTGAATCTGGGTTCCTGCATCTATGTATAGGTTGGAGGCTTCGGTTCGCCGAGCGGAAATTTGCCCATTTCGGTGCAAGCCATCGTTGACGGATCAAACGCCCGCATTGATGGTAAACATAATTTACCTAATACTATGATTACATATTTACATACATATAAGATTTTGTAAATTTTGACGTACAAATATGCGTCAGTACTCGGGACAAAGCAAAAATAAGTGGTGTACAGAAAACATAATACATGATTTGCGCCAAATAGCAAGTTTTTACAGGCCGACTGCAGCCGGGCGATCGGATTGTCGCGGTGAACGGTGAGAGCCTGGAAGCGGTCTCTCGTGATCAGGCCAGGAGAATTTTGCGCGATGCCGGAAACCACGTAATCTTGGATATCATCCGCTGAATAACCTGTGGAATGCATTGTCTGACATCGGCTTCGTGGGCGTGTCAGAACTAGCGAAAATTAATTACTGGCTTATGTCATTATCTGGACTATGGATATTTTGCGAAAAAATACACTTATATCATTCAAATAAATGGCAAGAATTTGTGTAGTACATGTATGAGCGCATCGCAAAACAACAGTCTATATTACCTTCTGTGTTTAAAATAATTATGATTTTCTTCCTGACGACATGACTCATTTCTGCAACTGCAACACCTTTCCAATCACACAGGCATTGTCAGATGGACTATGGGAATCAAGAGATGTCGCTTTTCGTGGACCCATTGGAAATGCACGACTAGCTGTTCTCTTGATTATAATTTTTATATAACGTTTTAATGGTGAATTTTTTGTCTTTAAAAACAGAGTGTGCGCCGTTTACAGCAGTGGACAATGGAACAAATTTGTATGATCCGTTGAATGGATCATGCATCCGCTGAATCTTGAATATCATTCGCTGAATAGGTTGTTAACTTGTCTGAATCGGCTTTGTGGGCATGTCAGGCCTCCCATCCATGGGAATTGAGTAACTAACTCTAATAAATTAATGCCGGCAACTCGAAAAAGTGCGTTAAACTGCGATAGTACGGGTCAACTTTGTACCAATGGAAATAAAAATGTTTATGTGGTCCACTAGTTCATGTAACGTGCTTCTGCCGGACCATGTAAATTTTTTTGCTCTTCAAATTCAAGCTTGGTATTAATTACAGTGGGGTAAAAGTTTGGTACGGTAAAGTTTGATCGGGAAAACTCTCCGTTCATGCCGAGTTGTACAAACATCACACGCTTCGACAAGTCAAACACCAGAAAAGTTCCCGTACACCGGCCACTGGATAAAACGGCATACAACTGCAGTTTATCAGGTACGGATTACGGATTTCCTTCCTTAACACTGATAAGATCATTGTTGATTGCTTATCGCTCAAATCGTGGATGCTGGACTCGCACAAACACTGAATAAGATGAATTGACAAGATACCTACGGAACATCGAATTATAGTTTGTACTTTACGCAGCTTATTTAACTCACTTTCTCTAAGTTGGGCAACAACAAAATATAGTAAGTCAATAAGGCGATGGTAGATCGATGGAAACGAATGAACAGCTTGGGAATCTAAGGCTACAAGAGTTCATAAACCACAACCGATTCTTGAATATCCTGTAAGGTTAACTGGTTCTTCATCCGCGTATCAATGATCTTGTCCTTGATACGGTAGAAAAACACACGGTCACTATTCCACCAGCACCACAAGGATCGGTCAGGCAGTGGGATGTTGATTCGGTCTCTGTGCGTCAGGAGTATGTGCGTATCCTCCAAGATCAGCTGGTCGCATACCTCACGCCAAAGTGCCGCCATATCCGATCCGTGCTGCCGAGTAGCGAATACTTTCTGATGCGGCAGCGCGTCAGCACAATCCGCGGAATGCGCAGGTTTTTGGCGCGCAGAACATCGACCACAATGTGCAGTGAACTGGGAAGCGGCGAATCCCTGGGCCATTGTTTCAGGCGTCGCTCGTCATCGCTGCTGGTCAGTAGAAGGGTGTTGGTAGACGGCATGACCATGTGATGCACCATACCGGCCACCGTTACGCCTCTGTGCTGGTCCAGATCAATCTCCACGCGCACGGCCAATGGTGGAGACTTGAGGAGACGGTTCCACGTGTAGCAGATCTCACTGGCAGTAACTCGCTCGTATGCATTCAGAAAGGAGAAAATTCGTGCCCACACCTCCACAGGCAGCTGTGCGGTTGTATGGGCAGTGGTTGTCTGCAATTTATGACAACCGGTTACCTCAAGAAGAACGTCAGACCAATAGGGCGTTTGACTTACACCTCCGGCTAAAGTGTCAGTATTCGGGGGCGTGGCCGAACCATTCGTGTTCTCCTGACCGGTCCGTCTGCATCCCGCTTTTAGCCCAGTCTGCTTAATCCAGAAAAGCATTCGCGCCTAGAGCCCCCACAACAACGATTGTCAAATGGGGTTAAACGTCAAACGAGCCAAACGATTGTCAAATGGCAAGTACTTCACTGCCACTTACACAATCCGGTGCGATCAAGCCCAGTATTTCCTTTGACGTCGCCAGACACGTTAAGCTCCGTCCGCGTACAGCAATGGCAATTGTTTCCGTCCTGCACAGCCACTGCTCCGCAAAGTCGGGTCGTTGGGTGACCGCCAGCAGCTGCGGATCCTCTGGTAATTCAATGCAACCCTTTTTGAAGGGGGCTTTGTGAGGCGCTTTCCCCCACTGACACGACGGCATCTCGGACAGAGGCTGCACGCGCTCCCACGCTACCACATCCCGCACCTGCGTTCCATCCGCGAAGGACAGCTCGACATAAGCGTAATTGTAGTCGGAACTGCCTGCTAGAAGGGTGGCCCGATGCCAGCGCCAGGGGACGTTGGGTGTCAATTGGTAAAGGACCAGTGCGGCACCGCCGAAATGCAGGCGGGAATCGGGTGTCCAAGTCCGGCCCTGGACAAAGTTATCCCAGGGAACCAATAGGGCCTGAAACTGCGGGCACCCGAAGTTGACGGTCAGGCCGTGCTTGCCATTGACATCCACTACCAATCCGTGCCATAACTCGTCGTGCTCGGTCTTCGCAGTCACTGCACCGTAGCGCCAGATGTCTTTCCTGAACATTGTTCTAATGGCCAACTAACGTACCTATCTAAAATATGCTGCGCAAGAATTATACTGCGCCGGGCAATAATTCACAAAAAAACTTTTGTAAGTGGATACTCGAAGCTTCGGAAATGGCGCAGGGCACAAAACTAGAGAGGAATAAAACGATGAAGGAAAATACTTTACTGCGGGAAAATGCGCAGCAAACAGCACATGCAAGTCCTAGAATGTACAGCTTGGAAAGGGTGGCGTAAGCTGACGTGAAAAAGATGCCAGCATGCCGATGACCGGCATAGTTGTTCATGATCCAACGCGCTATTGCCATAAACTTGTTAACGTGCATTCTCAATACACTGAAGTGTCGTCCTTGTGAATTAGGTACAGCCAATCAGGCGAGAACAACGACGGAAGCACTGTAGTGGACAGCAGTGCAACAAACCCGTGAGTACACGTACGAAAACGAAGTGTAAAAATATTTTTATTGTGAGCACTAGTGTTGGGCCGGCCCGGCTCAGGGCCGCGCCCCGAACAGCCATCCAGGACAAAGCCGGCTGCTGACCAATGGGATATCAGCTCAGGCCTCGAAGAACGTACGGTGCCCTGATATTCGGGCATGCAAGAACTAACCGAGAATTACTCGTACTGTACCGGCAGCGTGACAGACCAAGTGGTCGCTGGACGTTTCGTCGTGGGACATTTCGCCACATGTTTTTCGTCGCAGCGGCTAATTGTTTTGGGACAACTCGTTTTGCAGCCGCTTTGCTATGTGACATTTGGTCGCACGGCTTTTGGGGAGTCAAAAAATTATCGGCAAGTTTTTGGCAACGAACAGTCGTATGGCTATTTGCCACAAAAACGAGTTGTCCTCAGACGAAATGTCCGTAAAACCAAATGTCCGCGACGACTTGTCGCGTAGCCACTGGCAGATCCTTTCAGAAATACGTAATACAATTACACAATGTTCCGATATCTTGCGCCTTGTGTTCGATTTGACCAATAAAGATCATAACATTACACAATACAACCCAACAACTTTTACCATAATAATTATTAATTACGCCATATCTCGCTATATATTATATGCATATCGTGGCATTATCGCATGTTGTGGCAACATCCGTGCGAGCTGGAGCAGCGGCGGGAAAGGCTGAACAGGATAAGGTAACCAAATACCAGAACGTCATCCCGGACTACCTTTTCAGCGCTTTGGGCTTTGAAACGCTAGGACCAAACGGACCGGAAGCTTCCCGAATGCTGACGGAAGTGGGTAGAAGGGTACGGCAAGAAACTGGCGAGGCACGAGCACCGGAATACCTGCGCCAGCGTATCAGCATAGAAATCTAGCCAGGAAATGCGGCCTCCGTTCAGGGAACAGCTCCACCGGGAGCAAATTTCGATCAGTTGTTCTCATTTCTTAGACCTCCCGAGGCTGTTTTTTGCTGATTGAGTGCACTGCGTTGTGATGTTAATTGTTTTCAATAAGCTAAATGTACAAGGATAACAGACAATAAAATTCACTAATACATTATATACAACCACAAAATTTGGGCAAGGATCAAGTGTGTTATGCTTGTCCCTTGATCATTTGCACTTGGCCATATTTTTTTTTTTAATTTGTTCCGCATTTTCACCGTGTATGGTAGAAGTTCTGGAGAAAGGTTCGGACCAGTTAATATTTAGATAACCAATAAGGCGATGCAAAAAAGGCCGTTGCGGAAAACGTTTTTGAATTCGTAGCCTCGGAGGCAATAACCATTTTCTATTTAATATTACTATAGAAAACATTTGTCGCTATACAAGTAACTTGATTGAGGAAAGTGCTCGCAGAGAAATTTCAGGCAGAACAAACTTTAAATGATCAGTATGGGGATTCAAAGGTCGTTGCAAAATTATTTTTCCGTATCACCGGAAGAGACAGCAGCAATCCAAATGGTCTCTGATTGCCATGAAAATTCGTCGCAGTATAACATTCAGATATACTGTACCTAACCAGTCCACATTCCGCGGCTATAAATTCAGAAAAGTCTGATTTTTTACAGAAAGGTAGATGCTGTCAAGCCAGTGATGAAGTTATGTAAACCCTAGCGCTATCAATTTACGAGTAAAATCTTCCTGCCGGCGGAATTATGGTAAACGAGAGTGGGTGTAGCCTTGTAGGCGCTTTCATGCTGTACACAATCTTTGAGATCATCATTGCTGATTCATAACCGATGATTTCATCGATCGCATGAACTAGAGTACTTCCGCTGTACATGTCACCTGATAAATGGCTTGCTCAGTACGCGAATCGATTCGTTTTAGAAGCCACAAACCGAACAGAACCTTAATGCTGCCACATACATACTCGTATAGAAAATAATTGTTCGATTAGTCTCTGCTTTGTCCTTTAAATTTAAGATTACGATTCGGTTATCGGCAGTTTTTTGCACGTTTCAGCAATTTTCATTGCGTACATGTCGCCAATCCCGACCATACCGGATGCCAGCAATCTGCAACGAGAACAGCGGCCACTTCATTCTCGGGTGTCCGTAGTTTTTTGGACGCTGCGTTAGCCAGCGGAGATTTGAATGATGTACAGTTCGCAGTTGGGCGTGATTACGGCCCCTCTAAAATCTTCGCAGCGCACCGGTAACCTTCTGTATTCTACTGCTACGTCTCCCGCTTCCTGCATTGTCTACAGTACTTTTTTAGAAATATTTTAAGCATGCGCAGTCCAGTTTTCCGGACCATGTTCTATGGAAGTTTACCAGAAAAGTGTGTTGGCGCCATTGATGTTCCCGATGTTCATCCGGACGCCTTCGCAAATATGCTCAGGTAATTTGGCTTCGCCATCTCATTACTGATCGCTGCAGATATGTTTTAAAGCTCTATGTAGAGACGGTTCTTAGTTGCAGCTGCTTGTACGCTGACCGCGTTGACCTCAACCACGAAAACGTTTTCCCAACGCTGTACTGTGCGGACAGGTACGACGTGCCGTTGTTGACCGATCTCTGCTCGCGGTTCATCTTGAGCGACCTTAATGCGGGCAGTTGCCTGATGTATCTGGACAATGTACGTTTTCGTCATTGCTGTAATGAATACCTTGAGTGAAACAACTCTTAATCTTAATTAAGTGAAACGAATTTTAACAAAGCGATACATACTTCCGTCTTTTGAGTTGGTGATTTCTGACTAATTTGAGACTTTTCCTGCCAAAGCTCACCACACTTTCCGGATCATAAGAAGCCCGTTATGCCAACTAGTACTTATGTTTACGTAATCTATTCGCAGTTTCACGTTGCTGGTTCTAATTGAAGAAAAGACTTGACGGAAAACCAAAGTGTAACAGGCAAGCGCGAGGAGATCACGAGTGTGCATTATTGTACAAATAAAGGGGGAACGATGCTGCGTAATAGCAGGAAAGCAAAACAGAGCACTGATGGCTAAGCAAGCAAGTGTATGCTAAAAAGCTCTTGAGCGTTCGCCAAGGCGTGAAAAAGCAACTGGCGGCAAGCACGTGCTGTGTGCCATCAGCTGTGTGATGATGCGCAGACTGGACTCGATCCAACGCGAGCGTATGAACGCTGAGTCATACTGCGAGAGAGGGACGAGAGAGCAAGTATGCTCAGTGTGTGCGCCGCGTATATCCGCTTCAGCGGGTATGAGTGCAGTGCAGCAGCACACGTACGTACAGCGAGAGAGGCGATATGGCAAGCATGAGTGCAAGTACGTCCATGGTGGGCCGTATGCACCAGGCGCAGTCATGGGCCTCTGACATGCCTCTGGGCGGGAATCCGAGCTCCTGCGAAGGATGCTCCGACTCGGTACCGCACCAGTACCGCACAACTCTCCAGTCGGACCCAATGTGGGGTCGCTGGTACACGTCCTCTGGCAGTGGGAGTCCGGTGTCTGGTCGACCGTCCCTTCTTCACTTCCGAACCCATGAGTGGAAGCCACTCACGGCCGAAAATCCGGAAGCCGCTCGGGCGTTTCGTTGGACCGGTGATGCTTCTGTTGGCTGGCTTCTTGCTTCTGTTGGCAACGGAGAACAATGTGAAAAGAAAATGTAATGAAAGTTTATGCAGCGCAAAAGAAAGTATGAAATAAAGTTTAATCACAATTCCAGTGAGCAAAAGGGGTTACAAAAACAGATCTGTTAAAGAGATCGAACTAGAAAAATACAATTCCGTTTGTTAGGAGAAATACTAAAAAAAATACAAAAGTCTGTCCGGGGGTCCTATTCCGACTAGGATAACGTCCACGGGGCAGTTGAGTCTCCACGGGGGTCTCCTGTCCACTTTCATCCGGTAAGTTGGGTCCGGGGCATCGGTTCCCGGGTTACCCGTCGTAACCGGTTGCATTCACCAAGGTCGGATAAGCACGGTTAAACACTTACTTCCGACTCGTATCCGTCCGTTCGGGATAGAGAGGCACTGTTGCAGATGCAAATGCCGAGGCATCCTCTCTGAATGGGGAATAGGACCGAGGTCGGTTTGACTAAGGTCGGCCTACCGGTAGGTCGACCGGCGGCTAGGGAAATTCGGCTATGTTCCGAATTGTTAAAGTCCAGGTCGGAGAAGCTGTGTGTAAGTCATGCGGCCTGTGTGGTCGTCATGTACAGCAGTTCCGTTCAAAAAGTGGTCGGTTACAACCGTTTAATCTGCTACCACCAGCCTGGTTTAGAATAATCCGAGTCGAACTGGCTCGAAGGTCCGGTCGGAATTCATGAGTTACATCGGTGGATGTATCCAGTCGACTTCCATCCAATATGTGCCGTTGTTATCCGACCTACTGTCGAGGTCGGTCTTCCTGTCCGTCGGTGGTCGACTAGGGTTAACCTGCGATAACATGCCCATGTGGGGCTAAACAAGTTCCTTCGAGTCGAATTCGTCCACTGCAGACAGTTGTCGTTCTTCTTCCGTCATGTTGACTAAGTTGCCGATTTCCGACTTGTATTCGGTTGTGGTCGACTTCGGAAGGTCGGATGAACTAAGTCGTCATCCGTTCGAAGGTCGGATTTTTCCGTTAGGAGGTCGATTCTCGACTTCTAAATGCCTTTGCCGACTTGTTGTCGTATCCTTCCGACTTCTGTGCGGTGACTTCCGACCTTGGATTGAGGTCGGATATCCATGTCCAAGTTCGGAGGTCGGCTATTTTCCGACTTCCTCAAGTCGGAAAAACTTTGTGTTTTATCCGACGAAAGGCTTAGTTCTTCCACTGAGAGGTCGATTTCCTACGTCTGGTTGGTTTTCCGAGCTGTTGTCACTTACTTCCGACCTACATCTAATGGTTGTCAACTTCATTTTAGGAGTTCTGTGCATTCGGCTACAGTTGGTCGGGTCCCTGGTGTCGGGACATCCTACGGTCAGTTCGGACTGGCAGAAGGATGTTCGGCAACACAACTCCGTTCCTTCTGTGATTTCTGACGTGAACTCCAGGTCGGATCCGAGCTACTGTTGAGGTCGGTCAATCCGAATAACTTGCTGCTGGGTCGCCAAGTCTTGCGAGGTAGAGGTTCCTTGGCATCTGTTGGCCGATTGACTGGCGTTTCATCATGCACTGCGCTCGCTCGCAACACTAAAGGTCTTTGTGGCCCCAGTTGACGAGACGAGCTCTTTGGTTCAAACTTCATGCACATGCAAGTCCCTGAGGTCGTCAGATCCGTTTCTTCCATTCTGTTTTGTCGCGAACCTGTGACGCCTAGCAGCTTCTGTTGGGGTAGACGACCGTCCACGAGGGAATTTCTTTGCTGTTAAGCTGCAATGCTGCCACTGGTGTTGCGGCCGCATGGTCCTTGTTAGCGGAGTTCGTTCAAGGGGTGCAGATCGCGTATTCTAACACGGTCCGCCCAGGAAGTTCCATTTGAGACATGGGGAAGTGTCGCGGCGAAGTCGTTGGTACACCAGTATCCAAATCATCGTCGCTGTTCCTCTTCAGGAATGGCAAGCAGCACGTTCAGAGACGCGCGGTCGTGGTCACCGGTGAATCGGCTGGTTTACCTGATGTCGCCCGGGGAGATCTGCGGTTGATCTCCAGGTACAGAGCCTGTAGGTCTGGATTCAAACGGAGAATCCGGTTGAGTTGCCACGTAACTACTGCCAGCTTTCATCCATTCTCCATAGTCGACTTCTGTTGGCCGCTATGGTCGACCTGTGTGGTCGGCCATGATATCGATTTCTCGTTAGTCGATCTGGCTATCGTTTCCAAAGCCAACTTGTATAGTCGGCTTGCACAACCGACCTGTGTGGTCGTCTGATGCCGCTTTATCCGCTATGTCTCCAAGTTATAGGTGAGGTACGAAGTCGACCTTTGTGGTCGGCCAGTACGCGTAATCAAATCCGAGTTTTCCTGCGCTGTTGGCAGCTCGGCCGAGGGATTTCCGCTGTTTACAATGGTGAAGGCTGCTCGGCTACCCGGTTCCGAAGTTGGCGGGTGCTTGGCAACATGGCGCGGAACGCGCGCAGCGACGTGTTCCGCGCCATGTTAGCGTAACTCTCTCGGTTTCTCTCCGGTTGGCCGGAGTAATCTCCATGTAACGCGGATTGGGGCTTCTGCTACTGACATGGTCGCAGAACGTGGCTGACGATCTGCTTTGTTAGCAGATGTGGTTCATGATCTGTTTGCCACGCTGGGGAACTGGGGTCGGTTGCCCAGTTCGTTCCAGGGGATTCCTTGGGGGACGTACCGGTACGGTGAAAGAACCAAAATACCCAGGTCTAACCACGCGTTTCCGGGTCCGACCAAAGAATCCGGCCGACTTGTGTAGTCGACTTTTCTGGCAAAGTCGTCGTTGACGTCCGCCGCGTACATGGTTAGTCGGTTTCCATGGAAAGAACTAAAGAGGTATCCATTCCGAAGTCGTTTCTCGACGGTGCTGTTTCTCGGCTGGACTGTTTCTCGGTCAGGTCGGTTCTCGACCATGCCGTTTCTCGGCGTTAAGTTCCCGTAGTTATTCCGAGTGGGGAATCGAGTTCCAATGTGGGAACTCGACCTTAATTAGTGGAACTTCGATTTGTTTTATCGCCGCCGAAGTAATCTTCTTCTCGTCATCGTCCGCCGGGTCGGTTATGTGGCCGATGGTTGGGTCCTTTGGTTTACAAGTCGCCGAGCCACCGCGCTGAGAGACGTCTCGTCGGTCTCATCTGTTTCCTGGCCTGGGCGTGCCCGCTCGCGCTTCTCGATTCCTTGGCCGCTTGTTTGCGGAGTCGCAGCGCGTACGGTCGTGCGCTGTGCTATGTCATCCGACATCCGTCGTAGGGCGATGAGTTGAATCCGCTGGGCAAGTTTTCTTCTGTCGATACCAGCTGATAAATCTGGTCGCGTCGTCGCTGGGATCTATGTGATCCTCACGAAAGGCATACTTTGTCGCATACCGTTCGGTGTACAGCAAGTCGCGCATCCAGACAGCCAGGATAACACTTCATCGGTGTGCCAAGTTGGCTACGAGGGTTCCACAGCCGCTGGTATCGCTTCGTTGTAGTACAGTCCGTACAGTATAATGGCAAAAGTAATTGCCGAGTCGAGCTGCGAAGATGAATCGCAGAAATGCCGTGACCCGTCCTGGGCCATGCCGACTCTTTCCGGAAGATACTAAATCCAGTGCTGCCTGAGCCGCGGTAATTACAGCTGTGTGCGTCTGTGATGACGAACTGCAACACCTCCAACTGTCATGGGGTATTCCCGAGCTCTAGTTGGCGCGCCCGTGTTCCATCCGGGCTGTACAATGGTACATTCAACAAGACCGGGTCGGTCATCGACGGCAACGCGTTCGATCTGGTGTACGGGTGTTCAACATTCGGCGCTGTGTGCGCGTTCATGTTGAAGTCGGCTGCCACTGGTGTTGTTCGAACAGCATCTGATATCCGGATCGGGCGAGGAATTGACGGTTTTCACATCCGCCAGATTTGTGGTCGGTAACGTTCCTCGTAGTTCATGACGTTCATAATGTGGTTCGTCCGTTCGGTGGGGTGTAGCATGACGACTCGATTCCTGTTGTCGAGCTCGATCATAGCGAGGTCTTCTGGATCGGCACTTCCACTTGTGGCAGTTGTGCCATCTGGTCCACATCCACG